AAGTCCCATGAGATCTGATGGTTTTATAAAGAGCAGTTCCCCACACACGCTCTCTTTCCTGCCACCATGTAAATCGGTCTTTTCTTCTCCTTTGTCTTCTGCCATAATTATGAGGCCTCCCCAGCCATGTGGAACTGTGAGTCAATTAAACTTCTTTCCTTTATAAATTACCCAGTCTTGGGTATGTCTTTATTAGCAGTGCAAGAACAGACTAATACATCCCCCTTTTAATTTTTAAAAGTGTGCTCCAGGTTAAAGCTTTAATCCAAAGTATATTTTTAAACTTCGTATTGAGTGACCTGAAATGGGAAGAGATGTGTTATCATGAGATCTGCAGTTTCATTTCTCCTCCACTTTGGAGTTGAGAGAGAGAGGTGTGAGATGATCATAATCTGTTTTGTCCCCAAATGAGACACACACACATCTCCTTCCTTCTCCTCATCTTCATTCAGCTTCTCTGGAGCTAGAGAAGGCAGGGACTCTATTTTGCAATGACCATGTGATAACAGTGAAGAAACATTCCTTGTTACTCTCTGGTTTGGTGTGGTTTGACCTGTTCTTGGCAATTTTATCAAAGATGGTGGCCTCTGAAGAGTGCGTGTGGTGTCCTCTGAGGGGTGCTCAGCGTTATTCTGGCCATCTCAGAGGGGACAGAGTTCACTCTTATAAGAAACACTGCTGTTCCTACTAAGGTTGCCAGATTTAGCAAATAAAAATACAGGACAACCAGGTAAATGGAAATTTCCAATAAACAAGTAATAAGTTTTTAGTATAATTATGTCCTATGCAATATTTGGAACATACTTATAGTAAGAAAAGTTATTCCTGTTGATCTGAAACTTAAATTTAACTGTGTGCCTTGTATTTTATCTAGTAACTGCATCTGCAAGGCCAATTATTCCTGCCCTTTCTTTCTTCCTCTCTTTTATACCATGATAAGAAGGGTGGGATGCTTGAAGGCTTTTACAGGGAAGATTCTTATACTTCTTAGTAATCCCTGGGAGAGAAGTACAGGCCTAATTGCTTACAGCCCTCTTTAGAATGTGGGGGTAATTAGGGCTTCCTTGTTCTCAGCTCTAAGCTTTAATTCTTAGGAAAACTCTTATTCATCATGCTATTTTAGAGAAAAGGATTAGACACTCTATAATCAAATGCTAAACCAAATGCAATCATTTTCCAGAATATATATTTTGGGTAATGAATGTTGTGGACACTGAGAAGGGGAAACACCATTCAGGGTTGGATTTATTTCCCAGTGCCTCTGGGTCTCTGTTTCCTCATTGGAAGATGAGCTGATTGAACTGGGGGACATCTGGGTGAAACATGGCATTTGATTGGTTATTTCCTGTGGCTTCAGAGTTTTGGCTGAGGATCCAGAGCCGGGAACAATAAGAAAAATGATAGCTAACATTTATAATTATGGATGAGAAACTGCTGTTAGAGCTTTGCATATATTTCCTCACTTAATCCTTAAAACACCCTCTGTGATGGGTACTGTTATTATCGTGCCCATTTCATCAACAAAGAAACTAGGAGACTGAGAGGCAACTTGGCCAAGATCACCATGGATGACAGGTGCCCCATGCAGTCTGAGACTTGTCTCCACAGTTTCACCATGAATGCCCATGCAGATCCAGTGAACATCAACCCTGCTTTGCAGAAATGGCTGGAGAGCCATTGCGAAGGCATCTTTGAAGGCAGTTATGAGAAACACAGGACATGGCAATTGGGATTTTTTGTGCCAAAGAGAGGAGGGAGGTGTGGTCCCACAGTCTAACTTGACGATGAGGAACCCTAAGTAGGAACTGACTCAGTGCCTGGTGAACTTGCTCTGTGCTGTAGGCTGAGGATGTTCAGTGCCCCACAAAGACCCCCAGAGGAAAGAGCTAGCCTTGCATGCCTGCCATCACAGAGCATTTGATAGTCCAGAGAGGGCTTCAAATACTTAAGCTAAGTAAAAACACTTTTTGTGTATTTCCTCTTATCTTTCACTCTTTTCTTGTCTGGACACTGGAGGAACCCAAAGGAGCAGGTGTAGTGGAGGGAGATATGGAGCAAGGAAGGAGGTGGAACCAGGCATGTCCCTCACCCCTGCTCCCCGCTGGTTCCAGAGCTGAGAAATAGGAGAGGGGGAGCTTCCAAAGAACATTGAGATGAAAGGGTTGATATAGCAAGATTAGATTTTCTGATACCTGAACATGGAACTGTTCTTTTTGGTTGAAAATGACTAAACATCTTTAGTATCTGCTTGAGATGCTGTTAAGGGGAAAACCAGGGAGATGCAACAGAACAGATTGAGGTAGTGCCAAAACAGTAAAAACGACAACACACAAAGATACGAAACCTTGTTACTGTTCCTTATCAAATGTACCTGGTTCAATAAGCCAACGGTAATGAATTGGTTGCCAGGTTGCCCAGTGCCTCTGGGTCTTTCTCCATTTCTTCATTGCCAGATTGAGGTCGTTGCATCTGGTGATTTCTGTGCTTCCTCCCTATTTCATGTTTGAAAAGTAATGGAAATCAATTCAGTGTAGCTCAGGAATCCACCTCCCAGAGGCTTACGTTATATTCTGGGAATATTTTTAAGATTTAAATACAATTATCTGAGTCCCCATGTAGTGTGTCCGTTCCCCAAGATTTCTGAGGTTCTGGAGTTGGGAGTGTTCGGGGGATTCCAGATCCACGCTCCCCTCTCACTTCGTTTTTGCACAGGAGTGATGAGAATCACTGTCTTCCAATCCAAGAGGTAGATTCCACCCCTCCCTGCCATGTTGTTTTGGTCTCTGATTCTATCACTCTCCACTTTTCTTTGTCTCTTTCTCATTTTTTCCCCTTCTTCTCTCCCAAATGCCTTTCATTTCCCTCCATTTCTTAATTTATGAGGTTCCAAACTCTTTTTCTCTGCTTTTGCCCCTTTGTAACTCAAAATTTATTTTCCCTTAGGATTTTGAGCAATTCCTCTCTCTCTTTGCCTCCCCTTTCTCATCTGGGTTCAGCCCAGGGGTCTCACTTTTTCTCCTACAAAAGGACACATCAAGATGATTCATATACAATTGTACCTTATATTCCCTTGAATTACGCCACTCCCTTGGAGGGAAGCAGCAGCTTCTGTCAGTTTATGTTTTAAAAATTGTCTACCTTCCCTCTGCTCTAGCATAATATATGAGTCTGGTGATGATGATAATGATAATAATAATAGCAACAATATCCCAAGAGTCATGAAATCCATAAATGGAAGCACTTAAAACTTCTGATGTCTTGTAAATTGACTCCATCAGAAGACAGTTTGTTGTGTATTTCACAACAGGCACAGATGACATCCATTCCCTTGAGATTTGTGTTCTTTTTAACTAGTTTGCCCACAAACAGATGGTGCTTCTCGTTAACCTAGATTCACCCTTAACATAATATTCTTATATGCAGAGACCTTTTATAGTGCATTCTTGTTTTCGAAGCACTTTCATGTGTATTCTCTTGCTTGCTTCTCAGTGCAATGCTATGCGATGCATCTCATTATTAACACCCATTTTATATATAAACCAACTGAGACATTAAATGACATATTACGTAAGTGACAAATCCAGTTGGATCTTCTGTCTTCAAATCTCATGCCATTTCTGGGGTAAATACTCAAATAAATCTCTCTTATATATGGGGTAAGATGGGAGCAGACAGGTTCTACAGGTTCTATAGGACTTTGGGTAATCTGCAAAAGTCTTTATGGAGGAGAGAACATTTGGTGAGGGCCTTGAGGGAGGGTTATATAGCACATCAATTATCTTGCATGGGAACACATGTTACATACAATTTGGGAAACCCATTCTGTAGTAGAGGATTTGTAAAACATTGTTTTATTGTTTGTTGCTGTGCCATGGAACAGTCAAAATGCTCTTCTAATACATTTCAACTGGAATTGGGGAGGGGCACTGTTTATTGAGTGCCAATCCACGTGCCAAGTAACCTATATGCATTTTCTTATTTAAGCCATACAATTATTAATGACATTTGTACAACAAGAAAACTTAGAGAATAGGAATTTACATCATTTGTAGAAGTGAATTATCCATTAATAATTGTAATAACAAACATTTATTGAGCATGTAATATGTTTCAGACACTTTACACCTTTATTATCTCAGTCATCATCACCAAGATTGTATATGGGAAGCATCATTATTGCTGGAGTTTGAGGGGACTAATGAGTACAAAAAGCAGCGAGGCAGACAGAAGTAAATGGATCAGCTAAGATATTGATGAAAACTGAATTAGAGAACAAGGCTTAGACAAGTGGTAATGTTGCACTTTCTAATGCTCTTGTATGCAAATTAGACCTTGGAAAAGCCCATTCAATTGATATTGGGGTCTGCGGAGCAGACATATGCATGATGATGCCCTTTCACTTATCCAGGTGAGGTAGCGTCCAAAGAGAGATAGAAACTTCTGTGCTTCGGACTTTGATAAATAAGCTCCACCCACACACAAAAAATGTGTATCAACAGCTGCCATTCACCAACTAGGTAAATCAATCCATCTCTGATTGGGGGAGATGATGGGACCAAGCACCCAGGAGTGTTTAGGGACAATCTCTTTCTTGGAAACCAAAGGTGAAGAGAAAGGATCTCCTTTGTACCCCTAACCATTTTCACCATTTTGTTGAGTAAGAATTGGAGGGAAAGAACAGCTGAGTAAATTGCCCAGGTTACATAACTCTTCTGTGGCAGAGCCTGGGAGTCTGACTCTAGAGTTAGTCAACCATGCTGGGCTGCTGAGCTCACACCCAGAGGTGCCTGGCTTGGGTTCTTCTACCATAGCATTGTTAAAACCTTAGACACACTCAATTTAACAGAGTTTAATTGAGCAAAGAATGATTTGTGAATCGGGCAGCCCCCAAACCAGAATAGGTTCAGAGAGGTTCCAGTGCTACTGTATGGTTGAAGATATATGGGTAGAAAAAGGAAAATGGCATACAGAAAATAGAAATAAGGTACAGAAACAGCCAGATTGGTTACAGCTGAATGTTTATTTTATTTGAACCTGGGTTGAACAGTTGGCTGCCTTTGTTTGGCTAAATCTCAATGACTGGTACAAAAGTAGGTTACAATCTGTTTACACATCCAGTTAGGCTACAATTCACTAAGTACTGAGAAATCTTTAGGCCAAACTTAAAATATGTAAGGAGGTAGCTTAAGGCTAAACTTAATTTAATAGCATATTATTTGGCATGGAGAGATATGACCATGAAGATGGAAATTCATTAGCTGTTCAGTTTTCAAAAAGATTCTGGTGCAACTCTGGGTCGAGGCAACTAGGTATATAACTCTCGCTGTAACTCTCGCTCGCCTGCTTAACTTGTATGCTTGTATGTTCTTCGATTTTCACTGGCTGTGACTGCAACTGTCGGCAATGACCCAAGACATACTTCACATTTCTTTGCTACTACCTTCACTCACTTCCTCCATCTCAGCTACTCAGGGCTTTCCAAACTTCCTGTCAGTCCAGTGTTTCACAATATCCTTCTAGGTGCCATTGTCAGCTCAGGGCCGTCCTACCTGTAGACAATACCCAGAAAACAAAAAGTAAAGATTTTTGGTTCAAGTTCAATTTGATAACACTCTCCATATCTAGATATAATAATAATGCCAATCTGTTAAGTGCTAACTACATCAATGTTTTGCAGGAATCAGCTCACTAATGCAACAGCCCTATGGTCTTATTACACCACTCTTTTTCTCTGCACTGGGATGAGATTTCAATCTGTTAACTGATGTGGTTCTTTTCTTTGGATTTTCTGCTACACTGAAATTCTTCCTCCTTGCTACAGGGACACCATGCCCATCTCTTACCTCAGGGAAGGGGTGATTCTGGAGGAACAGCAAAAATACACTGAGATGTCTGATGTGTCTAATCCTGAGACTCTGAAAGATTTCTCAAGAGTTAGGGAGGATATTAAAGGGAAGAAGAGAGTAAGTATTGGGGTTCCCTTGGAAAAAAGTAGTCTTTTGCTCTATACTGCTCTACTCTGCATAGACCAAGCAAGAAGGATGATGGTGGATAAACCCTCTTTGCTTTGTGAGATCCAAGGGAAGAGGTGACTTTTCCCAGTTGTACCTGGAGAGGTGACAGTATGTCAGAGAAGGTGTAGCTTTGTGGTGGGTCTAGGAAGAGAGGGCCTTTGAGGGCCTCAGGGAATCCTCCACTCAGTGGTGTGGGGCAGAACTGTGGCCACAGGGCTGTAAATGGTCTTTTGTACTCAGAGGCATGGGTGTAACTGAGAAAGGGTCCAGGCTCAAGAGGCCTTGATGCTGGAGATAAGGAAATAGAGCAGCATCCTTTGTGGGCCAGTAGCTGAGAACCAGGCAGGGCAGGGATTGTTCTGCAGAGATCAGATGTATAGGCAGCAACGGAGAGCACCTCCCACCATCTCACAAAATGCGAGCCATGTATCCCAACCTAATCTAAGTGTTATAGAGAACCCCAGGTAAACAGAATGGGAAGAGCTCCGAAGATGGGCTGAGGTGACGTTTCTGATACTACACGGAATGGGAGTTTGAAGAAATTAGGTCAAGTTAAAAATAACAAATTAAATAATTAACCTATGAGACAGAAAACAAAATAATTTCCTGGAGGGGTGGGAACTGGCTGGGATGGGGTTCAAAGAACTTTCTGGGCATGACAAATACATACTATATCTTGAAGGGGTGTACATTACATGGGTGCCAGTATTGATCAAAAGTTATCAAACTGCACACTTAAGATCTGAGTATTTAACCGTCTATAAATTATGCTCCCATTAAAAAATTAAAGAGACAAAAAAATTAAGGTTACATTTCTTGCATGCCTGAGTTTGCGATATTCAAGACTTATAAAGGTTACACAGCACCCATTTTGTCTGACCCTAGAGTCTGTGTTCTCCTGATTGAGACACAGCGGGGCCTTATAAATGGAACCTCCTCCTGCCATTTGCAGCTGTGCAGCCTTGGGGGAGCCGTGAAAAAAGTCAAGGCCTCAGTTTCCCTGTCAGCCCTATGTGGATAGTTAACAGCTCTTACTTCAGAGGGTGGCTGTGTTTTATTGCATGTAAAGTCCTGAAAACAGTGCTGACATCGGTCTGAGCAGATAGCTGTTCCTTGACAGTAAGCAAAAAAACCTCAAATTGCAGCAGGTAGGGGGAAAGCAGAGGCCCCAAATTAATGTGCTCAGTCAGCCACAGGTCCCAGGCAAGCTAGGGTTAACACACGAACTTTTGGCCACTCAGCTCAATGGAAACTCCAACTACAAATGTTTTGAAGACTGTTTACCAGGCAGGAGAATTTGATGGGAGAATTTTCTCCCAACAAATCTGCAATGATATTATGAAACTTCTAGAAAGATATGTGACACTAGAAGAAGCATATAAGCTTTAAAAGCCTGAATAAAGCCCACACAAGAAGTTATAAAAGTTTCTCAGGGAAAATGGAAAAGAAATGCTACAGTGATTTCAGGGTTTTCTAAGTTAGCTCAGTAATTCTGAGAGGCTTTCAGGGGCCTTTTCTTTCAGCTTTCTCTCAAGAGATAAACTATGAAGATGGCAGATATGAATTCCCTTGTGGAGAATAAATGCAGATAGCATTTAAGTAATGTTAAATTAATATTCCTTCAACACAATTATTGAGGACTTATTGTTTCCCAGACATAGCTGTGGGAGCTGAGGAGGATGTATACAGAATAGAAAATTTTGGAGAATTTCAAGTATGAAAGTGGAGGCAGACATGCACAAATCAGTGGAACATTGGGGAATAAAATGTAGGCTGTACTGGAGGTGTGAGCAAAGTGCTGTGGGAGGCTAGCTGGGAGCAGGGAATTCTGAATAGGGGTTGAGTGAGGGTTCATGGGGTTGGCATTTGAGTGCAGCCTGGAAGGGTCGCACTGGAGGTAAAGGTTGAGGGTGATGGTGTTACAGACACAGGGACCAGGAGTGACTGAATCCCACCCTGTCAATCATCCCACTCTGTCAATCATCCCAGTAGTTTCCTTTGCATCTCTGAGAGAGGAACATACAAAGAACAAGAATAGAACCGTTTTGTTAAGAGCTATGCAGCGTGCAATACCTTAACATGGAGCTTGCTTCTAAAGGTTGAGATAGAGCATGAAACTAAGGCTCAAAGCAACGCCGGCGCTTCTCATTCTGCCGTCCTCTCCATCCTCACTGCCCTTACCACCACATTTGATTCTTGGCACGCTTAGGTTGTTTGTGGAGAATGAAAGACTAATCTTATTCAAGTGGACTCTTGGGTTTAATTACCCACCTAACCACATGAAAGCTGGAAGAGGGAGGAAAGAAGGCAGCTGTCTGCCCTGAGATACTAGGGCCTGCCAAGGTCTGCTTACCACATTTAGGTAGAAATTGTAAGAGAGAGAATGCATGAGTAGGCCTGTCTTTAATGATTATGCCTCCTAGTGAACACAGCCTAGTAAACATCTCCAGTTTTGACCAATTAGATTAAGTCCTGTAATAGCTGGAAAAGATTGAGTGGAGACTCTTTCTACTCATAAGGAAAGAAATATTCTCTTCTCTCCAGTGAACAGTAGGGAATAAAGGCATCCCAACGTAGAAGAGAAGCTGTGTTTCATCCTGAATTTGTGAAAGAGTAGATGATGTTTGAAGACAAATATGGGTCCTTTATCGAAGGATAGGAAATGCACAGAGTTGGTGATGGGAGATGAGACTGGGAATACATGTTGAGCTGGAAAAGCAAGATCTCTTCTGCTCCATCAAAGCTTCCCTGCAGGTGAAAGCCTCCTTTAAACACATTGTCTTTTTCACTCATATTTCACACAAATTATGAGTATTTTAAAAAATACGTTTCTTTATAAGAACACTGAAGCTCAGAAAGGTTTAGGAAGTTGTTCCAAGTCATACAGTTTGTAAATAGTTGGAACTAGCATCAGATCATCTTTCTCCTACTGCAGTACTCTTTCACTCATACATACTGCCTCAAAATTGGAACATGGCAGTCCATTAATTCTTAGAGGCTTAAATATAAAATGTAAAAATGTAAAAAACGTATACACACACACACTTGTTTTGACTAGGGGTAATGGAGCTTGATCTACTACCTTGGCCTCCCAAAGTGTTGGGATTACAGGTGTGAGCCACTGCACCCGGCTGGTCTGTAGTCCTCTTTTTCTGTTACCTTTTTTCCTGGCTTTGATATTAGGGTGATACTGGCTTAATAGAATGAATTAGAGAGGATTCCCTTTTTCTCAATTTTTTGGAATCATTTCGGTAGGATAGGTATCAATTCTTCTTTGAATGTATGTTAGAATTTGGTTGTGAGTCTGTCTGATTCACCTGGGTTTTTCTTGTTGGCAATTTGTTTTTTATTACTGATTCAATCTCATTCCTTGTTACTGGTCTGTTCAGGATTTCTATTTCTTCCTGATTCAAGCTAGGAGGACTGTATGTTTCTAGGAATTTATCCATTTCATCTAGGTTTCCATTTCCTCTAGATTTTCTAGTTTGTTTGCATAGAAGTGTTCACAGCCATCTCGATGTTCTTTTGTATTTCTGTAGTGGCAATTGAAATATCTCTATTTTCATTTTTAATTGAGTTTAATCTTCTCTTCTTCTCTTGGTTAATCTACTTAATGGTCTATCATTTTAAAAAAATCTTTTCAAAGAGCTAACTTCTCATTTCATTGACCTTTTGTATTTTTTTGTTTCAATTTCATTTAGTTCTGCTCTGATCTTTGTTATTTATTATTTTTTTTTAGAGATAGACTCTTGCTCTGTCACCCAGGCTGGAGTACAGTGGCATGATCTCGGCTCACTGCAAGCTTCGCTTCCTGGGTTCACAACATTCTTCTGCCTCAGCCTCCCAAGTAGCTGGGACTACAGGCACCCACCACCACGCCCAGCTAATTTTTTGTATTTTTGGTAGAGACGGGGTTTCACCGTGTTAGCCAGGATGGTCTCAATCTCCTGACCTCATGATCTGCCTGCCTCGGCCTCTGGAAGTGCTAGGATTATAGGCATGAGCCACCACACCTGGCCCTGTTATTTTTTTTTTTTTTCTTCTGCTAGCTTTGGGTTTGGTTTCTTCTTGTTTCTCTAGTTTCTTGAGGTGTGATGTTAGGTTGTCAATTTGTAATCTTTTATACCTTGTGATGTAGAAATTTAGCACTATAAACTTTCCTCTTGGCACTACTTTTGCTGTATCTCAGAGGTTTTGATAACTTGTGTCACCTCTTGGCACTACTTTTGCTGTATCTCAGAGGTTTTGATAACTTGTGTCACTATTATTCATTTTGAAAAAAATTGAAATTTCCATCTTGATTTCATTGTTAACCCAAAAAATTGTTCAGGAGCAGGTTGTTTAATTTCCATGTATTTGTATAGTTTTGAAGCTTCCTTTAGGAGTTGATTTCTAGTTTTATTCCACTGTGGTCTGAGAAGATACTTGAGATTATTTTAAATTTTGAAAATTTATTGAGATTTATTTTGTGGTCCATCTTGGAGAATATTCCATGTGCTGCTGAGAAAAATGTTTGTTTGTACTGCAGTTCTGTG